ATATTAACCTTAGAACTAAGTTCAAACTCGTGGTACCACGATTTCGTTTAACTAAGGTAAACGATTCTTTTATGGGGAACTGTATACGTTTTTACAAGATTCCGGAGAATATATTAAGATTATCGTTTCCTAAGTTTAAAACTTACATCAAAAGTGTTTTAATTGAAAAGTCATATTACAAAATTGAAGAGTATGTTTTAGATAAAGAAATACGGAAAGACAACAAGAGTCTAGATTCCACAGAACTATGATTCAAAGTGTATTCCATAGCATTTAGGTTTATTTGAATAGAGCAATCCCTTGAGTTTCTTGCTCGTTCTTCTCAGGGAGGTCAGCGTAGTGAACGAGCATGACGTTTTCAAGTGTAAAAATTTTACCTATGGAGTGACTGATTATTTAACTTTGAAAGTTTCTGAAATTAGGTTTAAATTGGCAAAAGTGCAAGTTTCGTTTAGTAACAGCAGTATTTTCAACGTGTCTGCTATACTTGCAGTTGTAATGCGCAATGGAAGTTCCTAGGAGTCAAAAGTATTATTGTTATATTGTGGACTTAGATAACTGTAGTAATGTCGTGTAAAGGTTTAAGTTATATTTAATTTAAACGTCACATACACATGTTAGTGGTGCCGTAGAATACAGAATAACCTTTCATACTTAAGAAAATAATGAATCTCGCTCAAGTCACGTACCTAAAATAATATTATCAAACCTGTCACAAACTATGTCAAACTCCTCACTGATAGGGGAGTATCCCTTTTCAACGTTAGCTCTTATCACCAAGCCTCTAAGATCCAAATTGCTTTGGTATTAGGTTGTTTTTGTCATTGGTCTGTTCTATAGAAATACGGCAAAACATTGTCCCGTATAATAATTTTCATTTCGCAATATGGCATTCTCGGATTTATCGGAAGTTATGAAATCGAGAAAAGATTGATTGGGAAATTCCTTCGATATCACGTTTTTTTTGTTTAAATTCATGACTGTTTTCGTATAACATAAATATTTAAATAAATAATAAAGCAAAAAATGATTTCATATTTATTCACTAACGATTTGTTAGTTACAACTTTCTTGGCATGATAATTTTTTCCTGACGTTACGGAGCGGTGGCGCGCTCCAAATTATAGTCCATTGGACGATCACAACCGTTTAAAAGATCGTACTAATCTTTTTTTTTACCTTTTTTTGCAAATAAGCATAATATCTTATTGAATATATAAGCAGCTCAAGATGTTTAGCGCTTAATCGAAAGTTTGCACTAAATAAATTGCCTAATGACAATTTCTCAGAACTTGGACGACTTGTGACGATATCACGTTTTGCGTCACATTTCTGTAAACCAATTAAAATGAAAGGATTGCAGGAGGCAGACTACTTCGTTTTGTCACTCATCATTTTCACAGTTGACTTCCACCTCTTCGACAAGCGAATTCGGCTGACGAAGGCGGCGCATTCGACGCATTGTTTACACCGAGCCGCCTGCCGCCTTGGCCGAAATCACCAAGTCGAAATCGCGTCATTATTAATACAAGTTTGCGTACAGAGACACAACGAAGCGTTCGAAACGTTCAACAAACTGTGGTGGGACGCTGCCACCGATCGAACGTCGTTTGCGGAAGGCGACCGGCGACTCGGTCGCCTTCCACAGTGAGCTACGGTCGTTAAACGACTCAAGTGTTGACACTGGATAGGTTGCCGCTTTCGGCAGGCAAGCAAGACTCCACTGAAATTATATTGCAATTGTGACAATTATTTTGCTAAAATCTTGTTGCAATGGCTGTTCTCAATGAAGTATCAGTGGAATGGTAGTGATGGCATTAATTCACTCAAATCTAAGGATCGATGTGCCTTTGTAAAACTACAGTGTAAATTACTATGCATATCTTAATTTTTATCTCGTTTAAGCAGCAATTTAGTCCTCAAATTAAATATATTTCAAATAATTAGTAAACTCCTTCAAAATCAACATAATATACATTTCATAGGTAAGCGTTATTACATTTGAAATCGTCACATTGGTTAAACTCTACCGCTCATTCGTAAGGCAGATTCCCCTGAGAAGAATGAGCAAGAAACTCTAGGGGTTGCTCTTTGTAAATAACATTTACAATATTTTTTTATTTGAAACATCAGATTGAGACTACCTCCATGAGCTAAACGGGTTACTACCACGGATTTTTGTCATCCAAGTACGCAGAAGTTGTATAATAACATTTGGTACAACGTTTTTGTTTCACTATAGTTTTTAACCTTGATGGCAAATTTTGTATGTCAACCGGAATCTTGTTGTAGAAGTGTATTATTCAGGAGACGGCAAAACTTTCTATTTATTTAGAATTTCTTATCAAGGATGGTAATTTGGATGCATTGCGTTAAGGGTCGTATTCTAGAACTCTACTCGATGCTCAAGTCAGGATTGCAATGGAAACACAAGCACTGGAAATACGACTCTAATGGCAAGGACTTGAGTATAATTTCGAGTGCTTTAAACCATACTCAAATCCTGACTTCAGCATTGAGTAGAGTTCTAGAATACGACCCTAAGAATAAGTAAACGCCAGTGTGTAAATTTAATATGAAGTAAGGGTCATGTAAAATCAGTCTGCAAAATTTGTATATACAATCCATTTTTTGCATTTCAGTAACCTTGTGCTTTAAGATACGAGTTTGAGAAAGTAAGGCAACGATATTTCTTTTATTATTAATTTTTATTTCCTTATATTGCTTTGCGTGTCGAGTAAAGTAATTTCGATAAGTCATTTCTAACTTTTCAGTAAACCGTAATTCTTTTATATTGAATCATGAGCAATGTGTACAATTTTCCAACCAAAATTCGTTTCGTTCTATTTTTGATCAAATGAATTAGTAATTACCACAAACCTTCATTCAACCCCTGAGTGTAGGTCATGCTTATTTATTCAAGGAAAACCAACAGCTGCAATACATTTAATATAAATATATAGCCTACTGGTTACCGACGACTTTAGTTCTAGATAAATCAAAAGTTACCATTCCTAATCCCAAAACATAAAACAAAGTGGTATAAGAAAATTACTAAACTGGGGCCTTACCATGAACTCTTACTGCGATTCAGTTTAGGGCCTGAAATAAATCGTTGTGAGACAGCGCTACATGAAGTGTATATCACAATTCCGCTTTTTTGTCGTTACGAACTTAAACTAAACTGTAATAAGAGTTCTTGGTAAGGCCCCTGGTCTCTACACTGAACCGAATTTGTTTGTAGGGTTGCTCGCTCGACAGCCTAAATGAAGAACCGCATGTTACTGATGTTTTGTCAGTGGTCTCTGGAGAAAGATATCTCTCGCGTGAAACATGTTTTTTACCGACTTCAAAAAAAGAGGAGGTTCTCAATAATAATTCGACTGTGTTTTTTTGTGTCTATGTTCGTGGCATTTGTGAACCGATTTTGATGATTTTTTTTTTGTTGTAAAAATACCTCTTTCACTTTCCTTTAACCCCGATTTCAATAAAACTTGGCAAACAGATGTAATTACAATAAAAAAGCCGATAAGCAAATTTTTTAGGTTGGTTTTTTAAAATAACTTTTAAAATAACGTTTACTAATATAATCATAATAGTAAAATCTAATGATAATTCAATATTGACATCTTATATGATAATTATAACTTAAATATGATAAGATAATAATAGATTTAAATGTAATACTTTGAACTAATGACTTCAACAATTTGTAATAGTTTACTTAAGAATATTTGTCCGCCATTATTGGTAGATTTTTTGTGATACTTAGCACTGTTATTTATTAAACATCAAATTGTTACACCAAAAAATCACACAAATAAACAAATTTCATTTCATTTCATAAAAAAAGTTCTAAGATTGATGGAAATTTGGTTGGAAATAATTAAATCCGTTATAAACCGTGGCGCATGATGAGCCTTCTTCATAAAACGCCTATCGAAATCGAAGCCTATTATAATTAAGTTATTGGTTGGACCGCAACGAAAGTGGTATAAAATCGATTGAACGAAAATTTTCTCGCGAAAAATCTAACTTTACGAGTTTCACACAGTCAATTTATGAATACGATTGTCAAATTCGTCTAATTCTCTAAATCTTATTTAAATTTTAATACCAAAGTTCTTTTTTTGAAATTTTATCATTTTTTTTTAAATTTCAATGTTGCTCTTACAGCCATTCTGCCAGCTAAGTTGTCACAGCTCCATTTAACATAATTAATGTTTTCTGAACTTGTCCAAAAGAAGAACTAAGTCTATGTATAAATACAAATTACGTCTGTTTAAGTTATTGCTTTTCTCTCATTAAAGTACTGTCAGGACAATTTAGAGTGACTAAATTAATTGAGCAAAGACTTTGAAGAAACCTTCAACAATTCTGAGGTCAGCTCAAATTGAGTTAAATGTAGTTTGTGCTAGCCGTCTTGATAGTTTTAACGCCTTCAGTTGGAAATCTGAAGATTTTTCTTACTCCGTGGGCTGAGATTTTTTAGGAATGAATAGAATTGCAAATTAAAACTACAATGGTATCATACAATCTATATTATAATAAATATTTTTTATAATAGGCGGTCTAATTACTATGTATCAGAGTTCAAATTCACATTCATTGTTAAAGCACAATAAACGAAAGCATCGTGAAGACTTGTCTGTGGTGCACGAGGTCTTATTTAATATTTAATTTAAAAAGTAGTAAAATTCTGTATCGATTTCGTATTATGTAGACACCACCTATGGACGCGATAGTAGTTGATTGCATGTGGCAGTAAGCACGGATTACGCGATCCTCCACATGCTTTTCCGGTGTTTACAACTTACTCTTGACACTATAATACGAAAATGTAAACCAGTTCTTTAGCAAAAAAACCCTTAACCCTAATATACGATGACGTTATGTAAACATGAACTTTGAAGCCTGTTCAAAATGGAAATGTGGGGAAAGGTTGACCTCGGCGGACATACCTCAATCTTTTAGAGATTCTTAAAAAAGTAAGGTCAAAAATGACCAGAATAAACATGAAAATATTGAAGCGTGTGAAGTATGCGATAGAGGTATGCCAGGAAATTAACAAATTGAGGTTTGTAGTAGCTTATTTGCATTGGGAGAAAGGTGTGATGATGTTTATTAAAAACAAACTATGTCGTTGATATCTAGTATCAAGATTTTAATACCGCTCTTAAGTCGATAAGTAGGTATATACGAGGTGAATGACCGTTTAGTTTTTGACTTCTAAAAGTTTTGAGCACATAAAATACGGTTTACGCTATTATACTAGAAATCTAACCATGGAACATTGTTAAAATCCATTAAAAAGTGGAATTCAAACTTGCGAAAGGTCGACCTTGGTGTACATATCTCAAGCACGTTGTCCTTTTTGCTATTTTCCCTTTAATTGTGATTTTCACAAAAAATGCTCATTCAAATGTTAAAAAAAAATTTTACTCAAATCATCATCTTCAATATCGTCTCATTATCTACCCATTTATATGTCCCACTGCTGGGCACGGGTCTCCTTTCTTTTGTTTTGTTTGTTGGGGACTTCACACGTTTTCCGAGGGTTGTGAACCTTCTCCGACGTGCAGGTTTCATCACGATGTTTTCCTTCACCGAAAAGCTCATGATAAATTTCAAATTAAATTTCGCACATAAATTCCGAGAAACTCAGAGGTGCGAGCCGGGATTCGAACCCACGACCCTCTGCTTGAGAGGCAGTAGGTCAAACCAATAGGCTACCACGGCTTATTACTTACGGCTTATTTACTCAAATAATACGATGTAAAATATTTAATAGGTTGAACAAGTTCGTTTCAAGAGTAGATATGAGTCAGGGGCCTTACCATGAACTCTTATTACAGTTCAGTATAGGTTCGTAACGACAAAAAGCGGGATGGTGATATACACTTCATGTAGCGCTGTCTCACTGCGATTCGTTTTAGGTCCGAAACTGAATCGTAATAAGAGTTCATGGTAAGGCCCCAGTTCTATCAGACGCTCCGATCGTACGCACCCGCACGCTTCCATATTGTGTATGCGTAGTGAAAATGGCGACGCCAGAAATACGGAGGTTCGAGCTGATAAAAATTTGATTATTATAGATAATACGTTTTATTTTTTCCTTTGAAAAAGTATTTGTATAACGGTTTTAATAAAAATAAACACCGATGTACAAATTCGTTTCATGGTCGCGCTAAATGCCGCTGCCGCCGTTGTCGGTTAGTTTATGATCGGCGCTCATGTCTATTCCAGAGTAGTTTTTATGTGAATATCGCTACGTTATTACACATATTAATGTATACACACATTGACTTACAATTATATGGACGTCGGGTCCGCGCTAAAAAGTGTCCGAACTTATAGGGCGTTAAAATCGTATACAGAGCGTCATTCACGCTTTAGTCTTCGTTTGTTCGACTGACAGCGAAGCAAGCAAAATTAGACAGTACTCCGATGACATTACAATTTAAATTCAACGTTTTAGCTTTTTCATATTCCTTTACATGTCACTACGTTTAATTAGGTTGACTTGGGACATTTTTTTCGTGGTTTTTGTATTAGACCCTTTGTAAGTCAATGTATACACATTTTGTATTTGCATTTGCGATGGCATTTGTATCAGTAATCTGTATTTTGCATCTCCCCATTTCAGTGAGCAGCCGATCTTCACGTGCAAGGCGCACGTGTTCCACATAGATCCGAAGACCAAGCGGTCTTGGATGAGCGCAAGCTCGGCCGCCGTCTCGGTCTCGTTCTTCTACGACTCCTCGAGGAACCTGTACCGCATTATCAGCGTTGAGGGGACCAAGGTTAGTGACTTGACCACAGTGGCTTACCGGTTATGTGACTACAAGAGCTCGAATTGTGCGAGAGCGACTTAAAACTCGAGATACCTGCTATTGTAGGGAATAGTAATGTCTCGCGCGTCCATGTCGTTCTCGCGCGTTTCTGTCGCGCTGGGTCTACTGTATAGCTTATTAGTTATTTTGCATAGGATTTATTTCAATAAATGTTCCGCAGTTATATGTAAACTGCCTCAGTGGCCGGTGGTTACCATGCTGGTTTGTCACGCAGCGGTCTCGGGTTCGATTCCCGGGCCGGGAGAAGTATTTGTATGGCCTTCATTACTTCTCTCGTGAGTTTGGGTGCAATTTGTGGTTGTCTGTGTGTGTCCTCGGTACGTGGGCGCGTTATTTATTTATCTATTTTAATTTGTTCTTCGTTGAGCAAACATTTATTGATTGTACAAACACAAGTTGACTCGTTTGTGATATCATAGAATGCGTGACCTGTTTTTAGTTCGTCATTTCCTTTTACTAACGCATTATGAAATACAACCCATCATCCTTAGTACAATTTTATCCACTGCCGAGTCTCACTTGTCTACCAATAACGACATCGTCTTAAATGATGACGTCTCGGCCACCAATCTCATTGCACGACGTTCCATGTTTCTGTAGCCAACTCTTGGCCACCAGCCGGTTGTCACTATACTTCATCCATCGAAGTGTATAACCAGATCGAGTCTATAACCAGAAATAGAGATGAAATGTCATTTAATTGGTTTGAAAACTATTCTGCCAAATCATTACGGAGACAACTGCGCTCCGATTGGCCAACCCGATTCGAAACAATTGACGGGTGTCGTCAATTGTTTCACTTCAAATCGACCAGTTTTACTTGCGCTTTGCCTTAGTGTTACAATAAATACAGAATATTTTTGGAATATACGGATACATACACACAGGTCAGTTGTTGGCGCTGTACTATTTCAGCTTTCTAATTTGTGATTTCAGTGCAAACGAGGGTTGATATTTAAAAGTAATATAAGGCCCATTTGCCTGATTAGTTGCCAGGGATTGATGGCCCTTATTTCGTCTCTATTTCTGGTTATGTACTTGATGACGCCATCAGTCATCACCACGCCTCACAATATCTCCCGTTCAACCCCTGTAGCAAATCGTACAAATCTTTTTGTATATGTCTTTTTAGCAGTTTTGTTTTGGACATGTACTAGTTTTTGGCGCCTTTTTAGTTGTTATTATTTTGTTTTGTTTCCGTTGTTGATTAAATAAACTGCAAGCACAGTTCCTTTTGCTCATTTTTCAATTGCACCCGATACCCATTGACACAATCCGCTACAACCCCAATTCAGCTTCGTTATCCTATGTCCTGGATTTTAATATTTTAGCACTGCAGTCCATTTGGTTGGGCGATGAAAAGGTAGGATGAACGAACTGTGCATGTAGCGGAAATGCGAATGTTAAGATGGTTGTGTGGAGTGACGAGAAAGGATAAGATAAGGAATGAGTACATCAGGGGTAGTTTGAAAGTGGCGCCAGTGACGGAAAAGATGAGGAGTAATAGGTTAGCGAGGTAAGGACATGTCTTGTGACGAGAAGAGTGCTAGGTATGAATGTGGAGGGATATAAGGGGAAAGGCAGGCCAACGAAAAGATGGATCGTGGATAAGAAAGGTGTGAGTATAAAAATGACGGATCATAGGGGAGAATGGAAGAAAAATACATGTTGTGCCGACCACACCTGCACAGCGTGGGATACGGACAGGAAGAAGAAGTCCATTTGGTTGTGTAATCTGAAATTTATGTATAAAATAATAACAATAAAGTACGTCACGGTAGGCACTGTTTTCATACAATATTTATTGCACATGTTCGTGTTCAAACGGCGCAGTCGGATGTACCGTGGGGTTCCATCTTCTTTTAAACAAAATTATTTAAATAACGCGCACATTCATAGCCTCGCACTATACTCCGTCCAACAATTTATTTAATCTTTGATATACGCATGCTTCCGACATTGACATACAACCATAGACAAAAAGATGCATTACTTCCTGGGGCCTTACCATGAACTCTTATTACGATTCAATTTGGGACTTAAAATGAATTGTTGTGAGACAGCGCTACATGAAGTGTAAATATATCACCATCCCGCTTTTTAGTCGTTACGAACCTATACCGGACGGTAATAAGAGTTCATGGTAAGGCTCCTGGTCTCTTTTATTTTTTAATTTTAGTGGAGCGACGTGCTCTTTAGCTCCGATATTTATCGAACCAACGAATTATGTAACGAAGACTATTCAAATTGATACATTTTGGTACCTATTTAATAAACTATAACGAAATGAACACATTAATTATTAATTCTTGAGTACACAAATTGGCAAACGCAACATCACGATTCTAGTTAGACAATATCTTCTTTTTGAGGAAACCCTGCATCGCGGGTGCCATGTACACTCACATAGACAACCACAAATCACACCCTAACTCACGAGAGAAATAAATGTAGGCTTTACTAATATCGGTAACCGTTCGGTCACAGAGGCAGTACGTATGAAACACTTGCACAGCATAAATAGGCAATGTAATACGCTCTTACATATTACGTAGCCGCAAATGAAGCCCAAGGATCCCTTGGGCCATTGTCTCTACTAAGAATTTACAGTATAGTTTGTCGTTACAATTAATACATGTGTATACAACATTTCCTTTATGATCTCTACGGGGTAAGACATACACGACGGCCTCGCTGGTTAAATAGTTTGCAGTGATGAGGAGGTCCCGGCTTCGATTGTTGGTAAAACTTATTTGGTATATGAACTTGTCGAAAATCTAACTCAAACTCTAGAGTCAAATAAACTTTATTTCATAGGTAATCAAATTATACTTAAAATAGTCACATTGATTACACTCTAATGCAAACTCGTATAAGGCAGATTCCCCTGAGAAGAATGAGTAACAAATTCTAGGGGTTGCTCTTTGTAAATAAACATATGTATACCTTTATAATTTACAATATTTATTTCAAATATGATGCTCATGATAATCTGCAACAGCTGTACGGGACACTAACACGGATTTTTGTCATCCAAGTAGGCAGAACTCGTATAATAACCTTTAGTATAAAGTTCTTCTTTCATAATAGCTTTAAACCTTGCAAATGACAAATTTTGAATATCAATCGGAATCTTATTATAGAAGTGTATACATTGCCCCTTAAATGAATTTGAAACTTTATGAAGACGATTGTAAAGAATAGCTAGTTTATTTTCATTCCTCATGTTTGTCACTATTTTTCATGAAATAATTATAACTTTTTTATAAAAAAAAGTATCGACTCTTAATGTTGTTGTCAGTCACATTACATAATAACCGCGAGCGACTGATAACATTTCAAATTCATCGTAACACGTTTGCCATATGAATATTGTAGTACAAATCAATAACGTTTGTACAGACATGTGCAAAAGCTTTTCTACGAAAACAGGGACAGTTCTGCACGATCTTAAATCGGGTCGGCATAAAATTACGCTTGCGTCGTCATGCCCTAACGAGACAACCTATGTACGGACCTGAGAGGTACATAAGGAGGGCTCGAATGATCAACCCTCTTTATGTACTTCAAAGTTCGTTTAACTATTATAGTTCAATGAATTTCTACTTTACGTTTAATTCCCTGTAGTACCAATGTGAGATACGAATGCGAACTTTTGTAAGTAAATTGGTCCTACTTTCAATGTTTGATATTAACGTTTTCCAAGTCAGGGGTAAAAATACCGTGGTTATAGATGTATTCTGCGAACTTTTGAGGTCGGTTTTTTTTATAAAACAGTTATAATTATTAACGTTTATATAACGTAATGGTTCGACCTTATCACCTCTCAAGCAAAAATATGATGTTTTCGGTTAAGGAAACCGCCGTAGTGAAACTTGCACGTCGAAGAAGGTTCGTAGCCCTTGTGTGAAGTCCCCGACGACCCGCATTGGGCCAGCGTGGTGAACTATGGCGTAAACCTTCGCCTGAGAAGAGATCCGTACCCAGCAGTGGGACGTGTAAATAATAATAATAACGCGTACACATCCATAGCCCCGCACTAGGCAAACTCTGCATCACGGGTGCCATGGACACGCACACAGACAACCACAAATTACACCCAAAAACTCACGAGGGAAATAAATGTAGGCCATACAAATATTTCTCCCGTCACGTAAATCGAACTTGGGACCAGTGGCAGTCCAGGATGGTAACCGTTCGGCCACGGAGGCAGTTATATAATGAGTTGATGACAAATTTATGCCGCTCCGAGTTCATTTACACTGCACAAAAGTAGCTTAAAAGTGTTTTTAGAGGAGTAACTTTCTCATCATAATAGTCATAGACGTAATATTAACACAAGGATAAAAATATAGTGCCTGTTCTTGACAGTCGTTTTCACAACGTGACAAACTCATTCAAGGGGCAATTTATACGAGTCTATAATAAGATTTCTGTCGGTATTAAATTTTTTCTTACGCAATATAATACACACTTATATTGGGTTGCATACGCTTCTAGTATGAAAATGGCGCTCTTGAATTCTTGCCATTTTGAAATGGTATAAGAACAGTTATAGTTATTACTACAAACATGGATATCACTAAGAATAAATCCTTCGATATGGCTGGATTCGAACCAGCGTCTTCAGCATACCGTGACGCAAAAAGAGGGGAGTAATAAGTTTGAAGCCTTTGTCTGTGTATCTGAGTAATTTTCATGTTAGTAATAATAATAATAATAACGCACACACTCAACATAGCCCCACACTAGGGAAACCCTGTATCGCGGGTGCCATCGATACACACATTGACAACCACAAATTACATCCAAACTCACGAGAGAAATAAATGTAGGTCATATAAATATTTCTCCCGGCCCGGGAATCGGACCTGGGACCTATGCGTGGCAGTCCGGCGTGGTAACCGTTCAGCCGCGGAGGCAGTTAGTGTTAGTGTAGCCTGAAATATTATTTAATATTTCACGATTATATACATAAAAATTGCCACCGAAATTTGGTACGGAAAATAATTACCCATGTGTCTATCTGTGATAACTCCTAAACGTATGGACAGTTTTCAAATTGTTTTTTTTTAAATATTATTAAGGCTCAATTTATATTGTAGCGGAACGCAACGGAATTTTTCTAACGATGTTGTACATTGCATAACAGTGGCGAGGCGTCAAAATTCTAATGGGTAAATCCGAAGCTTTAACTTTTTGCGAAAACAAAAAACACTTTAACAAAAATGTCTTTTCCCGTTAAAAAGGCGCCTTGGCGACATTTCAACACAACACTTATTAACACACTTCATTTCACAGGTTAACTTATTCTACACATAAAATAACCATAGCTTTTGAAGTAAGTTTACATTTTAAGTTACCCGCGATACAAAAGTTTGTAAACAAACTCAAACAAAACAGACAAAAGGGATTTTTTCTGAGTGTACGGTCTTTGTATTAAGAGGGAGCAGAGGAAAAATTCCTAATCTTCGATTTGATTTTAGAGGGGTATATCCACTTTAAAGTTAAAAATAAAATATTGTATGAGTAACTACACGATATATTCAAGCATAGACACTAATCAGAAACATAAAACAATATAGTTTCCTCGATAGATAAAAATCACGAAATGACCTCTAATTTTCACATTTTTTCGATTCATCCTCGAAATGCTACAGGTTATTAGGACAAAAATTAGATAATTAATTATATTTATGCGTGATCGAGAACTGTCACTACGGATTTTTTTTTAGTCCCTTTAGTTTTAGAGTTATTCCGCTAAAAGGAATTTGGTACTTTTAATGCGCAAAATTCAACATCTCCTGTCACATGTCACGCGAACTTCAGGCATATATTTGTTTCACAAATTTGGGCGGAGCCAACGTCAAAACTTTTTTTGGCATGCTTCCTCTTAATAATTATAACAAACTCGTGGATGCTAAGTGTTGCTATTTTAATTACCTACGAATTACCATGACCTTTTACATACACATTGTTTACGTAGTCCTAGTAAAAAGAATCATCCAATTAAAAATAGATATGTATGCAACACTATGTATCGTTAAGATTTACAAAAATACATTACTTTAAGAAAGTTTTACATCTGGCAACTATTCTGACATTAAAACAAATGAAACTATAATTTGTTGCAACAAGGTTTCAATTTAGGTGAACGCTATTCGACAATAACTCGAATTATTCCGGCTTCTCGACCGCCATTTCTTTAGATGTTATAAAGCGGATTTTTGCGAATGTGTACTGTAATATATTTTGATGGGAGCGCATAGATTTCATGACTGAAATAGAACTCGCCGATCCGCCGGCCTACCTCGTGCTTGTTGGTTGAGGTACGCTGAAAATTTTAGGAAAGCCGGTGCCGGTGAGTGAACTCGAGAATGCTCGCGCATTCCGCGGAAGATTTTCGCTTGTATTTAGTTTGTACGTCACGCAATTGACCGTAAAGTTCATTATGCTATGTACATTATCGTTACAAAAGTTCGCTTCCATTCCGTTCGGCCGCAATATAAATTGAGCCTTATAATAATGACAAAAGAAAAAGTGAACAAAGGTGGGTCAACCCTAGACAGTGAGATCAAAAGCAATAAGCTGTCAACAACGCGCAAGGTAGAATTCATAATTTGAACGAACAATAATAAACCTATTGTGTTTTTCAGGCGGTGATAAACAGCACGATAACGGCAAACATGACGTTCACAAAGACCTCTCAAAAGTTTGGCCAGTGGAGCGACGTACGCGCCAACACCGTCTATGGACTTGGGTTCGCTTCAGAGGCTGAGCTTGGAAAGGTACGTTATTCATGATTAGCCACCGACTGAATTACGCGTGCGGAATTTTAGTTATCTTTGAATTCATCGTATTCGTTCGAATGGTTTTGATAACTGTCGTGGTTAAAATAACTAGAATATATTACCTAAACTTCGAGATACATACAGAGAATAAAGACTATTTTACGACAAAAATTTTTTGTCCCTAATTTTTTCGATATTCGGGAAATCTTAACTTAAGTATACTAAAAATTAACGTTGTTTGGGATTTGGTGAAAAAAGATCTTCATCTTTTTTCTAAGTATGACATGAATATCGAGTCATACAGTTAAAACATATACAAATGACCTAGAACTACACGAAATGTCGATGAGATAGTTTTAGGATCTCGGAGGTATGTCCATATATGAAAAGTATGTTTGAAATACATAATATCTTAATAATTCTAATTACATGTATTAAGTAAGAATTGGTGTAGTTGTAATTTTTCTAAATATTACGAAAAATTGGTGGTTGCAACAACTCGTCACAAAGTTCAGAAGAAAATCCCGGGACAAAAAATGTTGTCGTAAGGTAGTCTCCATTTTCTGTCTCTGTTCCTCTAAGTTTAGGTGAATACGAGTATACCCTATCTATTCCGCTCATTAGTTACAGGTTTACTGCGATATATTTATTGCTCACCCGATATTTCGTTTTTTTTTTCACTTTTTTCAAGCGTGACGAATGGAATATACAAATACTTATACTGAATTTCAAACAGGCTTTAAAAAAGTTAGGGAACTACTGACTAGTGTTGCGACATGGTGGAATTTCGGACTTGCGTGATAATGTTTTATTTTTATGTGTTTTTGTCTATCGATATCCTAACATAGCAACATTATCAACCCATTTATACGTCCCACTGCACCGGGGTACGGATCTCCTCTCAGGCGAGGGTTTAGGCCATCGCTGGTCCAATGCGGGTTGGGGATGTCACACCTTTCGGAGGGTTCTGAATCTTCTTCGACGTGCAGGTTTCATCACGATGTTCACCGAAACGCTGTAGGGCAAACCATATTACGGCTTTTTAGCAAGGGCGTCTAATCATCTTGTCCATTGTCTGAATTTGCAGTTCATAGAGAAGTTCCAAGAAGTGAAGGAAGCGATCCAGGCGCAGTGTGCGGGCGGTGGCAAGAACGTGGCCAACGGCAACAGCGGCGCCGCCACGCCTGTGGCCAGCGCCACGGCCAGTCCGTTGCTGGCTGGAAGGGCCGCGCAGCCCGACGAGCCGCCGCCGCAGCCTGTGCAGGTACTTTCTCTCTTTTTTGTATTAGTATCGTCATTCTAACACTGAAAATAAACCGGGCGCTTTTGATAAAAACGTGGTTAAAACCCAAGAGGGCAGATTTGGTTTTAATCCACTGCCCATCTCTGGACCTGATGGCAGATACGCGGAATTGCCACTTATCAGTGATAGATCCGCCGTACTGTTATCAACCGATTTCTGGTTTTCTGTTGGTCAATCGCAACTAGCGTTAAAGAGGCGGGTCCCAATCAAATGACTATGTGCACTTAGAGTTGTAAAAAAACTTTTTTTTGTTGAAAAAAGACGTGTAACTTTTTTGTCTGGAGTAGGTTTTTTTTCTAAAAGTACGAAAATAATAACATGACATGTATTTTTTATGCATATTATATGCATTTTGGATTTAATTTGGCACTACACTACCTCTTGTTAATATAATTTAAACTTTACTCTGTTGGCATATTGTTGAAAGTTCTATTTTTGCAAGTTACGACGTTTTGATTTTATATTAAAATTTCAATCACTGTGCTTCCATCTAGAGGTTAATAGCTGAACGAGGACGAATTCGAGATGTTTATTATATTGCAGCGGTATTTTCTTGTAACTAAACAATGATTACGATAAACATAAAATTGATTTTTTATTAAAAGTAAGACTTCATGATGATATGAAACGTCACCATAGATAATAATGCATTTTTCTACGATTTTCGAGGTTTTGCGCTGGATAATTGAAACGAGCATAACATACAAAGCGAAAATGGCGTATTGAGCTCAAGTTTGCTGTACTCCACGTACTGTTGGCACACGTACCATGCGAACTAAGCACTTCTACCGTATTTATAGTACTGTGGCCTCGATTACAGAGTATGATCATGTAACCGAAATTATAGTTAAGTACATGGATTCCCAAGCAACCGTTCTCCTCCTACGCTATTATACAACATAAAACACGCATACTTAATTCGGGTTGTGAATATGTATTATTTTTGTTGCAGACCAAACCGGAGAACGATGAGATGATGGTCCACCAAAGAGCTCATTCAGTCTCCTCCGCGCTCCAGGTGAATACTAATGTTTACGGCGATTATAAATTAGACCGCGTTATTCTCAAGCGGAAGGAACGTTAAATCCGAATTATTAGCGTTTGAGTTTTTGCATATATTTTGAATTTTTTTGCCGAGAAGTGTTAAGAATAGCGCTGGTAAAGGGAAGTCTATTAAAGACATTAGAGAACTGAAAGGTAAAGATGTTGGTGCATTCAGAAGTATTCCGTCTTGTGAGAGAGTTCATTCAGAGAAGTAATAATAATAATAATAATAACGCACACAATCAACATAGCCCCGCACTAGGGAAACCCTGTGTCGCGGGTGCCATGGATACACACATAGACAACCACAAATTACACCCAAACTCACGAGAGAAATAAATGTAGGCCATACAAATATTTCTCCCGGCCCGGGAATCGAACCCGGGGACCTCTGCGTGGCAGTCCGGTATGGTAACCGTTCGGCCACGGAGGCAGTTAAATTGCCACCTATGAGCATTACTGCGTTCCGGTTTTGAAGGGTTACGGTGCCAGTGGAACTACAGGCGCATGGGACTTGTCGAAGGCACAGTGGCAATGCTCCTCAGGTCTTTGCGATATAAAGCTCTGAGTGGTAATGCAACTGTTATGTGTAGGCACTTATTAAACATTTTTGTTTTTTTTTTTAATATCAAGTGACGGGACGAACAAGTTGTGTTCCTGATGGTAAGCTACACGCCTGTCCATGACCTTTGCAGTGACAATCAGAGCTTTAAATCGCAGAGATCTGACGGGCACGGCCACTGCGCCCATCATCCTGAGACATAAGTTGATAAGTCCCATGTGCATGTAATTTCACCAGCGCCTTAGCCCTTCAAATCCGGAACGCAATATTGGTCACATTATTGCTTGGCAGCAGAAAAAGGTAGTACTTTCCTGGACGAACTTTTTCACAAGGCGCTTTACTGCTGCAAAATTGTCATCAAGTATTGTACTTACCACGTACCTTCGGGAAGTGAGCATGCCTTACACCTCCGCCATCAAAGAGGAGATCTGGTAGTTAATTGTGCAACGGGAAGTGAGAGTGCCTACAGCTCCGGTCTGGTATTTGGAAATAGGGACGGTACTGTGTGTGCACCCGGGGCAGCTCACCCAAGGCACTAGCTTTTTGAGGACAGTACGAAGTCCGTGTAAACGGGCTGATCTTGACTCAGGACGTGACTGAGTAGGTTCCTGTGCGGTCTTGCTTGCACAGGCTATAATGCCCTTCCTGTATAACCGGATAAGACAGGGTTTTTTAAGCTGTGGTCCATGATCCCTAGGGGGCCGTGTAATAAACGCCGGGGGTCCACGAGGAGCCTACCTAACATGTTGTTTTATATGAAAATTGATATACAATGTGTTGTGAGTAAGTAGGTGCAGTGCACGTGACCTTTTCAATTTTCGCGCCTTTTGGCGGTTATCCTAAGATAAGCGAGCTTTTCTTAATCTATTTACCATTAAAAATTTTATAAAAATAATACTTACTAATTGAAACCTGGCGGCACAGCAAAAACCTGCGGAGGTGTATCCGTGCACCGCAAGAAGTTCTTCATCTTTTCGGAAGGGTCCGTGGGCTCTTTGAAATTTGGAGCAGGGTCGATGACTTGAAAAAGTTTAAGAAACCCTGGTACAAGAGGTTGATAGGGAGGGTCATTGTAAACAAAACTTACGCAGAAAAGATGCGGGAGTGTACTGTCCACGTATAAACGAATAAACAAACGTATAAAGCACAGTCCGTGTTCCGGCCGGCAGGGCGGGTACGCGACGGTGGGCCGGCAGCCGCGCGGGCCGCCGGCGCCGGCGCCGCCCGAGCCGGCCGCCGACTCCGCCGAGCAGCAGCTGCGCTACGAGAACGACCGCCTCAAGCTGGCGCTGGCACAGAGGTTCGTGCCTTTTCGCTACCTCATATTCGTATTCTTTACTTGCAAGTTACATGCTTGTATGACAGGTGTTCTTATGCTAATGGTACTCGACACGTAAGGCTCAACTCACACTGGCGCAAAGTCGAAGCGTCGCGACGCGTCATGTTTTTCGCCTATAGAATATTCATCTCTATTTTCCCTTTATTATATATTTGTACCTTAAATATATGTTATGCTTCGACACTGCGCCAGTATGAGTTGAGCCTAAGACCTCACCGTGGGGGTACTGCAATATTCAGGGGGCACTATGTCCTTATTTTACTAAGAAATAATAATAAAAAACAGAATTTTAAGCAATATCAACAATAAATATGAATACCATTGACTTACAATTATATGGATGTCGGGTCCGCGCTAAAAAGTGTCCGAACTTATAGGGCGTTAAAATCGTATACAGAGCGTCATTCACGCTCTAGTCTTCGTTTGTTCGACTGACAGCGAAGCAAGCAAAATTAGACAGTACTGCGATGACATTACAATTTAAATTCAACGTTTTAGATTTGTCATATTCCTTGACATGTCACTACGTTTAAATAGGTTGACTTGGTACATTTTTTTCGTGGTTTTTGTGTTAGACCCGTCGTCCATTTATTTGTAAGTCAATGATTAATACTTTCATTTACATTCAATACTTGCACGGTTAACTCTTACGTCATAGGACTGCTCGAAATGTCGATGTCCTGCCGCATCGGTCTGTCTTATTACTCTAGGGATTACTAGCGAGCGGTACGAGTCGAACAGGTATCTTGATATAAGAAACATCATCTTTTGCCACTGAAAGTGCGACGTCAGATTGCAGACCCAGTATTTTTGCGAAAAATTGCTTCTGGTGCCGTGGATTCCACGGAGAACTCGTGTCCAGGTTTTTCTTAGAGCCCCTACAGAGACCCTTAAGTCTAATTCACTTGTAACATCTGGCCTTTTCGAACATTCGGCGGAATGCATACCTTTTTAACACTACTGTTGCATTGTTAAAGCGTTTTGTTAGTAGTTTGTTTTTTGTCGAGTAAGTACTTACTAAGTGTTGCGAATATGTCATTATCTGTATAGTTACTAGTTGTATAGTTATCATTTAATTCTCGTTAATCAATTTAATGTGTGTCTATCGGTGAGGGCCTATAAATTGCTCTCCATCATCATTTAAGTTTTTATTATGTAAGATAAAAAAATCTTTCAGCATATTTTCACGTGAAAAATTTTTTCAGTATATATTTTTCCCACGTGACCTTTGACCTTTGTGCATTTTGATTGAGTACGGAGAAAGTTTCCCTCGCTGCGTTTTGACAATTATAAATATTGACCTATTCGAGGATTTCCTGGATGCTCCATCCTTATGCTACTTTTGAAGCATTTTGCTTCATCTGTCGTGATACATACGGTAAAGGAGTGGAATTCACTGTCGGTATGTATGTTCCCCGGAAGCTACAATTAAGAGCTATTCAAGGCTAGAGCAAACACTTATCATCGTCGCTTAACATCAGGTAAGTTTGTGGTCAAGCATGTGTTTTACATTAAAAAATATTGGATGCTATACCAATAACTTAAAGGACTGCAGTGCTAATCTCCATACTATTATAGATCGTAACTCTGAAAAAGGCTAAAATTCCGTCATATCTAGATTTCGCTGATCAATAGCGTGGAAGTAGTGTGTGTCAGGTCAAATGGCCGTGGATATTAATTAATTCCTCTTTAATATGAAATATAAGAAGTGGGTTTTTTTCCTTGCAATATTATTCAAATATTGATTATGAACTAAAATGTTTGTCTGTACTTTGGCAAATATGCGTGTCAATAGATGGCATTGTGTTACAAAGTAATTTATAAATTAACGCTTCCTAATATGGGTAGAGAACAGTAGCCCGCACTATAGATATAGAGCTTTAAATTGCAAAGATCTGACGGGCACGGTCACTGCGCCCGTCCCCTGGGACATAAGTTGACAAGTCCCATGTACCTGTAATTTCACCAGCACCCTTACCCTTCAAAACCAGAACACAGTAATGTTGACATTATTGCTTGGCAGCAGAAATAGGTAAGGTGGCAGTACTACCCTGGACGAACTCTTTCACAAAGAGCTCTACTGCTACTTCAAATATCTGTGCTATGAGTGCCATCTAGTTGATTTGTTTGTTATCACTAGAAATAGAGCTTTTGATAAATGCAGCTTGTCTATATAAATAGCTATTTGGTACTCGTCGCGACATCTGGTGTATGAGTAGGTACTAAATACCCGACTACGCTGTCTTGTATTGCGATTAACAGTCCTCTGGAGTTATTGGTCCATGATGCTATATACAAGCAAGCTAGTTAGTTAGTTAGCGTTTTCAAGTGTAAAAATGTTATCTAATGGAAAAAATGATTATTTATTTGACTTTGACTAGAAGTAAATATTATCAATAAACGAAAGAACTATGGTCAAATTTGAAAGTAAAATTGAAGTTCACTAACAAATAAAATATTTATAAGCTCTTGAGTGTTTGAAGTTGAAATGTTAACGACGGTTTCTGACATCATTTTATCCGTAGCCTGGTAATAATTGGGCTTGTATAGTTCATGAACTACGAACTATTAGGAATATATTCCCGACAGTGACCGATATGAACTAGTTCGTTTTGCACGGTTTTAATAATTCAACGTTATTTTTAGTTCAGTAATGACTAGGAACTGTCTGCGCTGATAGTTCATCTGTCTTTTATTCAATAGGAACGGTGCGAGCGGGACAGGTAAGTGCTCATATTTTTTGGGAGGTGCGGTAGGTATCTGTATGTATAATATCAACCTACGTGTACGAGTATATGAAGTAGTTCTACCTAAATATTGATTTTTAAACACAACATTCTAACTAAAATTCTTCTTTTGTAAAAAAAGGATATTTAGTTGGAATGACAGTCTTTAAGCCTGTTAAATATGACTGAAAATTAAATAGTACCGATTCCACACAAATTGTATTTTTAAATATTTTAGTACAGTGTACTATTGACCTCATAATACTAGAAGTCCGTAGTAGTTCATGTTAATAAAATTACTAGTTTGGAGCGTACGTTCAATATCCGAGCAAGGACAATACGAATTAACAAACCAAGGAACTTGATGATGAACTAGAAGACCGACCTAGTTCATTTGACCGATTGAACTAACTAGGATCGCTCCCTCTAAGGACCGATCAGGCACAAGTCTTGTAATAATAGTACCAAAATAACAAAATAAATGTAGTGAAATGAATATTTAGGAGAGAACGTGTTTCATTACAACAAAATAAATATTAAAAAAAAGTTTATTTCATCGAAGACTTTTGTACAAAACTTACACACTAACGAATTGAGAACTTGTTTTCAAGTGAGACAACTTTACAGTCTTACAAAAACTATGAATAAAAAGCTCAGATAACAACCAATTAATAAATAATCAACAATCATATTGAGTAATGCAACATTTTCTTAACGCTAATTATAATTGAAGTTAGATTAATAGTTATACAAATTAGATTTTCGTTTTATTGGTCTATCAGAATCTGATGACAAATCGGGAAAATTGTTTATAGCAACACCGGGCGTAGTTGGAATAAACATTTTTGATAATCGTGATTACTTCACATTCTGCGCTTAGACCACATCGTACATTATTAACCCTCGCTTGTAGCTATTCTAGTTGTAGTATTAGTTATTCTGTGGTGTTTAGCGAATTATTAATTTATTACAGTGTGTTTTTATGCTAAACTTCTAATATAAATATCTAAAATGAAAACTGGAATTAGAGTATTTACAATAAAGTTAATAGTTTCAAAATGTTCAATCGTAGTTGTCGGTCAAATCAGAGTTGCAAAGATGAAGTTTCTATATGAAATATTATAAAAAAATTACGTCACGAGATTCTGGTGGACCTATAGTGTTCCTTTGAATTTCAATAATAAGCCAAATTGTAATAATAAGACTCATTGTCTACTAAAGTTTTTGGGAAAAGATCAGAGTTTTACGAACCAATGGCATTGCGTTATTTAAAACAAAGCGGCTTGGTGAGGTCATAATAACGAATACTTTTGGTTGCTGTGTTGGTGACACCTGACTGAGAGAAAACAGAATTTCTTTCAAGTATAATAATCGACTTATGCTAATGTAGGTTTCCAGACATACTAGCACATCTAGGACTACCGCTTAAAATACTGAGAATTTTGAGTGTTTTGTTTTTTGGTAATGTAGTTGCAGAATTATAAATTATGCCAAGATTAAATGTGTGAATGATTTTAAAGCGATTATTTCAAATCTGTTTAGCTGATTTTTTGAGACCAGTGTCGGTTATATTCCTGATATATGACATGTCGACCCCTCCTACGTAAAGTAACGTATGCCGAAATTGCCAACTTTACAGGGGAGCGTTTTAAAGTTCTGAATTCACTTAAAGGAGCATGACATGTGACTTGAGCATTTCTCAGTTTTATTCGGCAAAGCTTGTTACTCACATATAGTGTTATAAAATCCTAGATATCGGTTAGATGATCTATGATGATCTATTACGCAATATGATCTATTACATGATCACTAAACGAATTCAAACCTTTAAAACGCTCTCCTGTAAACTTGGCAATTTCGACATACGATACTTTACGTTAGAGGGGTCGATGTATGATATGTCAATGAGTATTTTGTCAGCATCTTCAAATGTTAATTCAGCGCCTCCATCACGCATCTCAAGTAAGAGTGATATTTTAAAAACCCGCTCGTGGAAGCTATTACAAGTTAAGGCGTTCACGTTATGTGGTATATGCATTGACTTACAAATAAATGGACGACGGGTCTAATACAAAAACCACGAAAAAAATGTCCCAAGTCAACATTTTTACAAATTTAAACGTAGTGACATTTCAAGGAATATGAAAAAGCTAAAACGTTGAATTTAAATTGTAATGTCATCGCAGTACTGTCTAATTTTGCTTGCTTCGCTGTCAGTCGAACAAACGAAGACTA